GGGGGGGGGAGGGGGACGGGGGGGGGGGGGGGGGGGGCGGGGGAGGGGAAAGGGGGGGGTCCCGGGGCTGGGGCTGGCATCCTGCTCCACCACCACCACCACCCCCTGCTGACGCGCGCCCCCTTTCCCTCCCCCCCGCTCGTGTCTCCCGCAGAGCTCCCCCTGGAACATCATGATCAAGCACCGGCTGGTGCAGCGGCGCGGGCGGCGCTCGCAGATGATGAGCAGGTGAGCCCCGGACTGCAGAGGTCGGCTCCCGGGGGAGGAGAGCCACCTGGGGGTGTATGGGGGGGTTGCATTTCCAGGGCACCCCGCCCCCACACCGCCAGGGATGTCCTCGCCCAGAGATGCCAGTCCTACTGAGCGCCAAGGCTCCCTCTCAGCTGCGGAGTCTTGTGCGCAAAGATTCTCCTGGCACTAAAGTCTCCTTTATTCGTTAGATTTCCGTCCCACCAAGCGGCTCGGGGCGGCTTACAACAATTATAAAACCAGCGCAAATACATACATAACATACAACTCGATAAAATAGCTCAGCTCATTTCCAATTAAATGAAATAAATGTGGCGGTGTCGTAGAATAGAGTGCAAGCGCAGCACGGCCGATATAGGGTCTTTCCTACTGGAAGGCCCCGCGGAACAGCTCCGTTTCCACAGCTCTGCGGAATTGTTGGAGGTCCCATAGAGCTCTGGTCTCCTGAGGGAGCTCATTCCAGAGCGTTGGTGCCACCAGGGGGAACGCCCTGGCCCTAGTCGCCACCAGCCAACCTGGCGTCCCTAGGCCCAGGGGGGGCCAGGCGGTTTTGAGTTCTTACTCCTTCGGCGGAGCCTTACTCTGAGCTGTGCTCGACAGAGGATGTGCTGCTTGCTTGCAAACTCCTGCTAATCATTCGGCGGCACTTCCCTCATGCCTGCTGGCCTGCACGGCAGAAGCGTCAGGCCTTGTTCTTCCTTTACAGATGAGAAGAGCCCATCTTGGATTAGCCCATCTAATCCCTGTAGGGACCCCTCTGGGGTAACTGGTTGAGCACTGTGTGAGGTAGGATGCTGGACTAGATAGACCCTCACTGGCCTGGTCCAGCATGGTTTTTTCATGCAGTGGACAACTCTACTGTATTTCCTTTGATCCCAGTTAACAGAGCCAGCGGCGATTTCCGTTGGCTTTTCTGCTGCCTAATAGGTTCAGACTGGCCAACCTGTATTTCTCTTGTTCTTCAGTTCTGTATCTTTAAAGCCTCTCTAAGCTTATGCCCACAGCACGATCCAGTCCGCCCCGCCCCCAATGGGAAGGGCCAGCCACTGCCTGCCCCTTGTCTTGCCATCTTGTCCACACTCATGCCGGAGCCCCTCTGTCTCCCTCTCCTGCCTAGAATCAGCTGGGGGTGGCTTCTGGCTTCTATGGCTTCCAAGGTGCAGGCTCCATGGGGGCAGTTGGGCCGGAGCTCCCTGAGCACAGACTTGTTGCCCTGTGGAGGTGTTACTCCACTGAAATGTTTGGTCCCTGCCCTTGGAATGATCCATAGAATCATAGAGCCGGAAGGGACCGTCTAATGGTCCAACCCCCTGCCCCACGCGGGGCCCGCCCAAAGCATCTCTGACAAATATCCATCCAGCGTCTTCTTGGAAGCCGCCAGTGAAGGGGAGCTCACCACCTCCCCCTAGGCAGCTGATTCCACCTTTGAACCACTCTGACCATGGAAAAAGTTTTCCTAATGTCCAGCCGATACTCTTTCTGCATGTAATTTCAACCTGTTGCTTCGGGTCCTGACCTCTGCTGCCAAGTGGAACAGCTCCTGGCCCTCCTCCAAACGACAGCCTCTCAGATCTTTAAAGAGAGCAATCACGTCCCCCCTCATTCTCCTCTTCTCCAAGTTTAACATTCCCAGGGCCCTCAGCCTTTCCTCACAGGGCTCAGTCTCCAGACCCCTGATCATCCTCGTTGCTCTCTTCTGCACCCTCTCGATGATTTTGGCCACATCTTTTTTTAAGTGAGACCTCCCGAACTGCACACAGGACTCCAGGTGCGGCCTGACCAAGGCAGTCTACAGAGGAGCTGTGTGACCACCTGCGAATTCGATGCTGTGGCCCTTTTACTACAACCCAAGACTGAATTTGCCTTTTTCGCCACCGCATCACACTGACTGCTCATATTTACTGACTAATGTAAGCCGCCCTGAGCCTGTTCTCGGGGAGGGCGGGATACAAATGGAAATAAAATAAATAAATTTATCCCCGTGCGAAGGAGTGATCATAGAGTTGGAAGGGATCCCCCAGGGTCATCTAGTCCAAACCCCCCCCCCCCCGAGATGGTGCTGTCTCTTTTATTCCAGCCCAGGAGCGCCTTAGAAACCAACACGATTTTCAGGGCAGGAGCTTTCAGGCATCAGAGCTCCCTTCGTCAGATAACTGCAGCTTACCTACGTGGCTGGCCTCTGAAACTGGCTTCAGGGGAGGGAGGAGGGGGTGGTCTGAGGCTGGAAGGGTTGGTGGTGAGGCTGCCGAGCCCAGCATTGGCCTCCGTTGGGTTGCACAGAGTTGGTTGTATTCATGGCTCTTCCTGGGTCCAGTTTCACAGACCCCGTGGTTTCCATGGACCTCCTGCGAGCTGTTCTGCAGCCCACGATCAATGAGGAGATCCAGGCTGTCTTCAATAAATACATGAAGGTAAGAGCAGGCTTCATAAGAACATAAGAGAGACGCCAATGTTGGATCAGGCCAGTGGCCCATCCAACACTCTGGGTCACACAGTGGCCAAAAAGACCAGGTGCCCTCAGGAGGTCCAGCAGTGGGGCCAGGACACTAGAAGCCCCCTCCCACTGTTGCCCCCTCCCCAGCACCAAGAAGACAGAGCATCACTTGCCCCAGAGTCCCTATCTATACCTTGTGGCTAATAGCCACTGGTGGACCTCTGCTCCATATGCTTATCTAATCCCCTTTTGAAGCCGTCCGTGCTTATAGCCGCCACCACCTCCTGTGGCCATGAATTCCATGCTTCAGTACAGGGGTCTTCAGTGTGCTGAATTTTGGGTGGGGGGAGCAGCAAAGGGAAGTGTGACATTTGAGGGAGAGGCTCCAGTCCGCTTGTGCCACCCTGGCTCCAAGAACGCCATTCCTGTTTCCAAGTTCTTCCAGAAGGCTGCCGGCAACGTGCGAGAAAACGTTGGGGAAGACGTGGACACCGAGCAGCTCATCCAGGACACGTGTCGGAGCTGCCTGGAGCAGGTGGGTGTCCCCTGCCCGTGCTGCGGGTGGGAGCCCCAAAGTGGGGGCAGGGGGGGAGGCAGAGAGCAGCACCAGATCCTCCTGGGATCTGCTGGGGGACAGACTCTGCCATGCACTGCTCTGGGGGTGGGAGAGCTGAGCGGGGCAGCCCCCAAGCAAGGGAAGAAAGCGTGAGGGGGATTCCTTCCAGTGGCAGCCCCATGATTATGGAGCAGCCTCCCCAGGGAGGTACACCTCACCCCTTCCCTACATGGTCTTCAGGAGGCTGCTAAAGACAGGTTTATTTAGAAGAAGAGGAGGAGGAGGAGGAAGAGATTAGATTTATACCCCATGGCCCTTCACTACCTGAAGGAGTCTCCGAGCGGCTGACAAACTCCCTTTCCCTTCCCCTCCCCACGACAGGCACACCCTGGGAGGTAGGTGGGGCCGAGAGAGCCCTTGACAGAAATGGCTCTTTTTCAAGGACAGCTCTTATCATAGCTATGGCTTGCCCAAGGTCATCCAGCCAGGTGCAAGTGGAGAAGGAGTGGGGAATCAAACCCGGTTCTCCCAGATTAGACTGCATTTGACTGATCTAGTTTTTATTTATTGGCAGGCCTAACCAGCATTTTTGAATGTCATGTGCTTTTAGAATGGTGTGATATTGTTTTTTGTGAGGTTTCTGTCGTCACCTTGTTTATCTTGTGCGCTGCCTGGAATTCCGCAAGGGAGAAAGGCCGCTAATGAATGTTTTGAAATAACTAAATAAAACCATCGAAGCAGCCAGAGGGAACCTCAAACCACTCAGGGCCCTGCGGGAGCCATGCGTCACCACCCCCAACCCCCCGGGCTGCTTTACCCGTTAAAGCGTTTGCTTCCCCCTCCCTGCACCCCGCAGCTGAAGAGGGCGGCTGGGAGGGCATCCCTGGGCTCTCCCCTCTGGTGGCCAGTTCCGAGGGCACCATCTTTGGCACCCAACTCTGACGGCTTCTTCTCCCTGCAGGCCAAACTCCTCTTCTGTGACGGCAAGAAGTCGGTGGCAAGGCTGCCCCACGACATGCCAGCGATGAAGGTAGAAACCGGCCTCCCTCCAGCAAAGGCTGGGGCTCAAGGCATCGCCAGGGTCACCTGCCGAGGAGCCCGTGGCCAGAAGGCCGGTGGTTGTCCTGCAGGGACCTCCCCGCTGCTGAGGAGGCGCCAAGCCGTGCTGAGCCCAGGAGTGCCGCTTGCCCTGAGGCTGGGCTGCGAGCGCAGATGAGTGACTCTCCTTTCCTTCCTCCCTTTCTCCCCCCCCCCCCCCCCCCCAGCGGACGACGAGCTCAGCCAGCAAGGGAGCCCCATGCCCAAAAAGGTGAGAGGAGGCCCTCGGAGCGGAGCAGCTGCCGCCGCAATGTTCCCTCTAAGCAGTGGAGTCTTATGAGCAAAAATCCTGCTTTGTGGGCTACTGGCATTAAAGCTGTGATCGAGCCATTTGGCTGCTGCATAAAATTAGTTTGCTCCGGAGCCATCCTTCCCAAGCCAAGACAAAAACGTGGGAGCCAGAGGATAAAAAACAGTTAGCCAGCTCACACTAACTCAGCTTAGAGGGAACACTGGTCCTTGCAATGTTCCCTCTAAGCTGTGGAGTCTTGTGAGCAAAACTCCTGCTTTGTGGGCTACCGGCATTAAAGCTGTGAGCGAGCCATTTGGTTATTGCATAAAATTAGTCTGCTCTGGAGCCACATCCTTCCTGAGCTAAGGCAAAAATGTGTGAGCCGGAGACTAAAACACTGTGAGCTGGCTCACACTATCTCAGCTGAGAGGGAGCACTGGCTGCCCGATGTGCTGTTCCCCCTAGAGCCCGCCTCCTGTCTCTTGAGGTGGGGCCTCCGCAGGGCACGGGAAGGTCTGCTTCTGCTGGGGCTCTGCAGGGGGGAGAGGACCTCAGTGGGGAAGCACTAACAGCAGGGATTACCCTTTCAGCGGAAGGGGCGGCCTCCCGGACAGAGCCAGGTGAACGAGCGAGGGACTACGGGGACAAGCATGTAAGTGTGGTGGGGGGGGAGATGTACACCGGGGGGGGGCATTTGTCTCTCCCTGGGCCCCTCCTGTAGTGCTCCCTGGGAAGGAAGAGCCCCTCACTAAGCGGGGCAGGGGGGGGGGCTTTTTTACAGGGAGGCCCTTCTGGCCAGAGACAAATACCAAACCGCCTTGTACTGAGCTGGACCACTGGTCCATGAAGAGCCAGTCTGGTGTCGTGGTGAAGTGCGTGGACTCTAATCTGGGAGAACCGGGGTTGATTCCCCCACTCCTCCACATGCACCAGCTGGTTGACCTTGGGCAAGCCGTAGCTCTGATAAGAGCTGTCCTTGAAAAAAGAGCAGTTTCTGTCAGAGCTCTCTCAGCCCCACCTGCCTCACAGGGTGTCTGTTGTGGGGAGGGGAAGGGAAAGGAGTTTGTGAGCCGCTCTGAGACTCCGAGTGAAGGGCGGGGTATAAATCCAATCTCCTCCTCCTCCCCTTCTTCTTCTTCTATATTGTCTGCTCAGACTAGCTCTCTGGGGTCTGAGGCAGAGAACGGTCTTTTGTGCCACTTGCTGCCTGACCGTTTTAACTGGTGATGCCAAGAATTGAGCCTGGGACCTTCTGCATGCCGAGCAGATGCCCTGTCCCTGAGCCACGGCCCCTCTTCCGCATGACAGTGAGGAGCTGGATGTGGAAGCGCGTCGGGAGGCCCCAAACCATGATGGCGAGGAGCAGCGTTTCTTGGAAACGGCATAGGCCAGGGAGGCTGTGCCAAGAGACGCTGGGCCATGAGCTCTGGCACTGCTCCTGGCAGCCGGGGTTGGTGCTGAGCTAATCGACTCCCGCGCGGGTGGGGGAAAGGAGTCGGGTTTGGGCAGGATGAGCCTCCTTGGGAAGCAGACCTGCCAGGCGCCCGGCCCTTCCCCTTGTTCCGCTCTGGAAGCCGCGTCGCTCAGAGGCCTTTTCTCCTTCCAGGTGGAAGACGAAGTCCTGCGAGCCGCTGCAGAGGGACGGGCCCAAGGTGAGGCGCTGGCGAGAGGGAGCCTCCTCTCGGCAAAGGGGCCTCTCTGCGGAGAGGAGAGCCGAGGGCTGCAGGGAGCAGACAGGGAGGCTGGTTGCCTGAGCCTGCCCCTTGCCTGCCGAGGGAACAGAGGAGAGCATCAGAGAGAAGCCCGTGCGGGGTCAGGCCAGTGGCCCCTCCAGTCCAACACTCTTTTGTCTCATACAGTGCCCAGAAACACCAGATGCCCTCAGGAGGTCCACCAGTGGGGCCAGGACACTAGAAGCCCTCCCACAGTTGCCCCCACCCCCACAAGCACCAAGAATACAGAGCATCCCTTGCCCCAGACCGAGAGTTCCTATCTATACCTTGTGGCTAATTGCCACTGATGGACTGCTGCTCCATATTAAGAACATAAGAGAAGCCAGTGTTGGATCAGGCCAATGGCCCATCCAGTCCAACACTCTGTGTCACATGGTGGCCAGAAACACCCGGTTCCCTCAGGAGGTCCAGCAGTGGGGCCAGGACACCAGAAGCCCTCCCACTGCTGCCCCCCCCTCCCAAGCACCAAGAATACAGAGCATCCCTTGCCCCAGACCGAGAGTTCCTCTGTATACCTTGTGGCTAAGAGCCACGGATGGACCTCTGCTCCATTTGTTTATCCAGTTCCCTCTTATGAGAATATAAGAGTACCCAATGTTGGATCAGGCCAGTGGCCCACCCAGTCCAACACTCTGAGTCACACAGTGGCCAAAAACACCAGGTGCCAGCAGTGGGGCCAGGACACCAGAAGCCCTCCCACTGTTGCCCCCCCCAAGCAAAAAGAGGGAAGGGTTCCAGAAGGGGTGGGCGGGCCTGGGAGTACTTTGGGTTTGAGATAGCACACCACTTTATCCCCCAGCATCCGCTTTCCAGAGCGAGCTAGGGTAGCAGTGAAGAGCTGTAACCACCACCACCACCCCGCCCCACCCCAGGCAGGAGCTTGGGAGGGATGTGAGCGTGTCAAAGAGCTCTCAGCACTTTCCTTCCTGTTGCCCTGCAGTGGAATCCCTCGCGGATCACAGAGGGCACCGCCTTCGTCCTTGGCTCAAGAGCAAACAAGTGAGTCACGGCTGGGTGAGTGCGGGGGAGGGGTGGGAGGGGCTGACTTGAGCCGACCATCGGGACGCCAGCCAGACATATTGGGGGGCAGGCGGGCGGCAAAGAAGAGGGCGGGCCTGTCCAGTTGCAAACAAGGGGTCTCTGTTGGTTCTCCTGCTGCAGGGCCCTTGGGATGGGAGGAACCAGAGGCCGACTGTACATCAAACACCCGCACCTGTTTAAGGTCAGTGCAGGTCGCTGAACACGCCCGAGCACGTGACGCTGCCTCCTAATGCATCACACCCTTGTTCCATCGAGCTCAGTATCGTCTGCGCAGGCTGGCAGCCGCCCTCCGGCTCTCACGTCCCCTGACCCTTTTAGCGGGAGATGCCAGGGACCAAGCTTGGGACCTTCTGTATGCCAAGCAGATGCTCTGCCCTCCCCACCGCCTCCCAGGATCCAGGTGGCCCAGAGCAGAGGCAGCTGCAGAGAGCCCCTTTGCCACAGGCTGGCCGGCCGGCCGGCCCGTCAGTTCACTGGTGCTGGCTGTGTTCTTCCTCAGCTGCTGTCATGTTGTCTTCTGCCTATCGAGTGCTGTGTTTGGAACTTGGAGGGGGGTGTGTGTCTGGCCTCACAGACTCAGTGTCTCAGCCGCCTTAGACTCACAGAATGTTAGAGTTGGAAGAGACCTTGCAGGTCATCTAGTCCAACCCCCTCTGCATTCTGCGGGAGCAGAGCCAGAGGAGAGCCCTACAATTTCTTCCCTGTTAGCCAGGATTGAATCCAGGAGAGCAGATCCTCTGGTTCCCACCTCCACCTTCTGAGCGATGAAGTTGTCCGCAAGACTATCCAAGAATCTGCGGGATGCCCCATGTCTAGCAGAGTTAGATTTCCAGCAAACATCTGGATAGTTGCAATCTCCCCTAGCCACAACATCCTGTCTCTGTGAAAGTTTAGTAAGCTGTTGTACGAATGCATCATCCGGTTCCTCCGGTTGGTTCGGAGGTCTGTAGTATACCCCCACAACACTATCCCCTTCTTTTTTTCCCTTGCTCTATCCTTACCCACACGCTTTCAACAGGGCAACTCTCGAAAACCTGAGTTTCAGTGCAAACGTATTCATTCTTAACATGTCGCGCCACCCCGCCTTTTTTTGTTCTGTTCCATTTGAGCAAGGCATATCCTCCAATCGCTGTGCTCCTTCTTGCTGGCCAAGGAGACCCCGTTCCTTGTGGCCACCCCAATCAGACCCCGCTGGCCTTCTCCGCAAAGGGCAGAGGCTGGGAGGGGGGGAGGGGAGGCTTGCCCAGCAGCGGTCAGGGGGCCGAGCGCAGCTCCGCTCCGTCTTTGGGCAGGAGCCCGTTGTGGGTCTCTGCTGGGCTGGCAGAATCAGCAGTGGAAGTTTTCAACTTTGCCCCCTCTACGCAGTACGCGGCCGACCCCCAAGACAAGCACTGGCTGGCTGAGCAGCAGCACATGAGGGCCACGGGAGGCAAGATGGTGAGTCCGCTGAGGCTGGGGTGGGGCCAGGGGGGGTCCACGTTTCCAAGGGAGAGGAGGCTGTTGGGGCTTGTTTCAGAAAGAGTTCTGCAGATGCCTGATGGGCATCAGCAGGGGTCATTTCCTGCGGGAGCGCACAGGAGTGGAGCTCCGGCAGTAAGGAACCCAGGGCGTGGGCACATGCAACAAGCCCCGCCCCCTGCACCCCTCAGTCAGGCCACGAGGAGCAAGGGCAGCCAGGTACGTTGCAGAGGCCCCCCCCCCCGGGCCCGTCTTCAGGTACAAGCTCTGCTTCCTCTGTGAGGGCATAACCGCGTGTGTCCCCCTCCCCCCAATAGCTAGCAATCCAAAACAGTCCAGTGGCACCTTTAAGACCAAGTTTTATTCAGGTACAAGCTCTCCTTCCTCTGTGAGGACAGATCTGCACGTTCCCCCCCCCCCACGTAGCTAGCAGTCCAAAACAGTCCAGTGGAGCCTGAGCGGTGGGTGTTGCCTTCTGACACACTTCCAGTGATGTCAGGGGGTGTGGCGTATGCAAATGAGTTATGCTAATGAGCTCCTGCACCTCTTTTTCTACAAAATGACCCCTGGGGGTCAGCCTCTTCCCAGACCAGAGTAATATATTTATTTCCTTTATTTATTTACTTATTTCCTGAGCCCTTTGGGGGGGGGGGGGGACAGTCTACAAATCAAATAAATCCAAAGCCTTTTATTGGCATATACATGAAGATACAGTCATCTAAATACAAATCGTGCAGAGTAACGTCATAGAGCAACATCATCATAAGAGTAGCATCCTAATAAAACCTAATTCACAGTGTCACTTATCAGGCCGTGAGACCATGGCACCGCACAGAAACTTTGCTACTGTTTCAGTTATTTCTGTATCTGGAGTATCAAGCAAGAAGGGGATCTTAAAACCATCGGGGGGTCTCTAAAAATTGGGCTAATATGGGATAGCGAAGATCCCGACGGGGAGCCAGATAGAGAGGGCACTGGAGGAGGAGGACATGGGCAACAGTTTCAACACAGTCCTTCATACAAGGACAGCCCCTGCTAGGATAGGGAATCCCTTGGAATCCTCCAGATAAGATAGCGGAAGGAAGAACATTAAATATTGCCAAGGAGATGGCTCTATGCAAATATCCCACTTCTCTACCGGCTGGGGACCCAAAATGGCTTCCTGTCCTCCATTTTATCCTCACAACAACCCTGTAAGGTAGTGTGACTGGCCCACTGTCACCCGGTGAGCTCCCATGGCAGAGAGGGGATTCGGACCCAGGTCTCCCTGTCGCCAGTCCCGCTCTCTAACCGAGACGCCACACTGGCTCTCAGCAATGGCCTTCTCGGGCGTGGGGGGGTGCATACGAATGTCCTATATCCTATTATGCTCAATGAGTTGCCGCCATTCTTAACAGAATGTCAGAACCCACAGCTTACAACGAAGTACACGCATTCAGGAACGGTTATACTTTTATTGCAAAGCTATAGATGCAGTAACACAGGTACTGTTAAGAATGGCAGCAACCCATTGAGCATAATAGGATATAGAGCATTTGTATGCACCCCCCCCCCATGGCATGAGCCAATTAGATACCCTCCTGTGCGCGGGACCAGTGAGGAAACCGTTAGGTGGCGAAAGCTGGGAAGCAGTAGTCTCTCACGGTACATAGGAGACTTCCAGACAATACAACCTCCTCCTGCACATCTGTAGAGATAAGCATTGCAGCACAGCAGGGATAGGAATGCAACGGCAATTACCAAGACACAGAATGAACTCCCCAACCCCCATGGCAGCATAGCTGACATTCCGGCACCTCCGATTCCTGCACCACTCTCTCTCCTGTCCTAGGCTTACCTCCTGTTGGAAGAGGATATCCAGGATCTGGTTGCCAGTGACGAGTACAGGTGAGAGGGCGAGCTGGTTCCTTGTGGGGCCCGGCCCCTGGGTATGAGGACCAGGCGGGCTTCTTGGGGGGGGGAGCAGGGGGAGGCGGTGGGCGAGTCATCCTAGAGGCTGCAAGGAGTTTTCCAGATGCGTTGCCCCAACTAGAGCAGTGGTTAAGTGCGCGGACTCTAATCTGGGAGAGCCGGGTTTGATTCCCCACTCCTCCTCCACTTGCACCTGGTTGGATGGCCTTGGGCAAGCCGTAGTTCTGATGAAAGCTGTCCTTGAAAAAGAGCTGTTTCTGGAAAGAGCTCTCTCAGCCCCACCTGCCTCACAGGTTGCCTGTTGTGGGGAGGGGAAGGGAAAGGAGTTTGTCAGCCGCTCTGAGACTCCCTTGGGTAGTGAAGGGTGGGGTATAAATCCAATCTTTTCTTCTTGGGCAGAGCCAGTCTGATGTAGTGGTTAAGTGCGCTGACTCTAATCTGGGAGAACCGGGTTTGAATCCCCACTCCTCCTCCACTTGCACCTGGCTGGATGACCTTGGGCAGGCCTTAGTTCTGACAAGAGCTGTCCTTGAAAAAGAGCAGTTTCTGTCAGAGCTCTCTGAGCCCCACCTGCCTCACAGGGTGTCTGTTGTGGGGAGGGGAAGGGAAAGGAGTTTGTCAGCCGCTCTGAGACACCTTTGGGTAGTGAAGGGTGGGATATAGATCCAGTCTCCTTTTCTTCTTCTTCCTCTTCTTCTTCTCCTCTTCCTCCCTGCCATACCTTCACCGTCCCCTGCGGCTTCTCTTACCCCAGAGGGTCTCTTGACTTGAAACTGGAGGAGCTGAAGCCCTTTGTCCCGCCCCCGTGGATGACTGTCAAGATGCGGAAGTACATGGAGCAGCTCCGTTGCGAAGGGGAGCAGCCGCCGACACCCGCGGAGGGGGGGCTGCCCGACACCTAGGCAGCGGCTACACTGGACTTCAGGCCTTTGGCCTGCTTGAGGCGCCCACGGGGGGGGGGGGGGGGGGTGTTCCGAGCATCCCTATCCATAATGACAGACGTGTGTGGCTTCTCATCGTGATAAGGTTCAAAGGACCACTAGGTCTTAACACCATTGTAAAAGACCTCGTCTGAGTCTCCGGCTGTTACTGTAAGAATCAGGTTTTGAATAAACATCTCTAATTGAAAATCACCTCGGCCTGAATGGGTACCTTCTCTGGCTTTGGGTGGGAGGGGAAGGGGAAGGGAAGTCTCTGGACCAATGCCCAGCAGCCACTTGGCTGTGCAGGGTGGGGGGGGGGTTTCCCTGAGCAGGAGGAGAGCTTGCGTGCAATGTTCCCTCTAAGCTGTGGAGTCTTGTGAGCAAAAATTCTTTGTGAGCTACTAGCCTTAAAGTTGTGAGCGAGGGATTTGGCTACTGTGTAAATTAGTTTGCTCTGGAGCCCTCCTTCCTGAGCTAGGTCAAAAATGTGTGAGCTGGAGGCTAAAAAAACTGAGCTAGCTCACACCAACTCAGCTTAGAGGGAACACTGCGTTGTGTGTCTGTCTGCCAGAAGCAAATATCTGTAGCTGCCCTGTAGAAACGTAATCCGCCCTGAGCCCTGCTTGCAGGGAAGGGCAGCCTATTAAATCCAATAATAATTAGTAGTGGTCCTCTCCTTTCTTTGGGGAGGTGGACTTCCTCCAGGGCCGCCTCCGACCAGAGTGAAGAGCAATAAATTTATTTATTTGTTAAATTTATATCCCGCACCTCCCTGCCCTGGGCCCTCAGGCTGAGGCCGGCAGCCCCCGTCTCTTGGGACTGGCGGCAGTTCTCCCAAGATCCCTCGGCTGAAGGCCTTTCACCTAACTTATGACCTGGTCCCACGAAGGGGGGCTGAACCTGGGACTTGGGGAGGGGCCATGGCTCCGTGGTAGAAAAAGCCTCAGCTTTGCAAACAGGATGTCCCAGGTTCAATCCCCGGCATCTACATTTCAAGAGGGCCGGGCAGTCTGGGACCCCGGAGAGCTCCTGCCAGGCAGACCTGGAGGAACTCCGGGGTCAGTATGCAGGCAGTTTCATGTGTGCCTTCCTCCGAGCAGAGCAGGAGCTCTGAGCCCAAGTGGTGCTCAGTAGCTGGAGGACGGACGTTGCCATTCAAGGGCCCTTGCTTGGAATCCAGTTGGAAGTTTGTGTGTTTAGGGGGGGGGCATGCCCCAACAACTAGAGAGGCATGGACGGTTTCCTATAATTAGCTGTTGTAAATTTTCCGGGCTGTATGGCCGTGGTCTTGGCATTGTTGGACCTGACGTTTCGCCAGCAAAACGTCAGGTACTACAGTGCCAAGACCACGGCCATACAGCCCGGAAAATCTAAGACAAAAACATGGGAGCCGGAGGCTAAAAGACTGTGAGCTAGCTCACACTCACTCAGCTGAGAGGGAACACTGGTCCTTGCAATGCTCCCTCTAAGCTGCGGGGTCTTGTGAGCAAAAATCCTACTTTGTGAGCTCCTGGCATTAAAGTGGTGAGCCAGCGATGTGGCTGCGGCATGAATTGGCTTGCTCTTCTGGAGCCCTCCTTCCAGAGCTAAGACAAAAACATGGGAGCCGGAGGCTAAAAGACTGTGAGCTAGCTCACACTCACTCAGCTGAGAGGGAACACTGGTCCTTGCAATGCTCCCTCTAAGCTGCGGGGTCTTGTGAGCAAAAATCCTACTTTGTGAGCTCCTGGCAGCTGGGCATTCAAGCTGTGAGCAAGCAGTTTGGCTGCTGCATACATTAGTTTGCTCTGGAGCCATCCTGCCTGAGCGGAGACAAAAAACGTGTGAGCCGGAGACTAAGAAACTGTGAGCTAGCTCACACTAACTCAGCTTAGAGGGAACATTAGTGGAGAGACAAGTCCGCTTTTCCCTCCGGGAAGATCCCGTCCAAGGCTCCCTCTAAGCTGCGGAGTCTTGTGAGCAAAACTTCTGCTTTGTGAGCTCCTGGCATTAAAGTTGCGAGCGAGCGATTTGGCCGCTGCATCAATTAGTTCGCGCTGGAGCCCTCCCCCCTGAGGGAAGACAAAAACGTGTGAGCCGGAGGCTAAAAAAATTGCGGGCTGGCTCACACCGACTCCGCTGAGAGGGAACACTGCTCCCGTCAAGTGCGCATGCCCCGTTTCCGCCGGCCCCGGGGGGCGCGGCTTTCCCCAGCGCGACGGACTACGGACTGGTGCCCCATTCCCGGAGTGACCCCCTCCGAGCGCCGGCAGCCAATGGGAGCCCTCGGCGCCCTCCCGCCGGCCAATGGCGGCGCGCACCAGGTCCGTTTCGCGAGGGGCCGCGTCCCCGCGCGCTCTCATTGGCCCGGTCGAAAGCGAGCCGGGCGCCCATTGGCCGCGGCGCAGGAGCTTTGCAACATTCAAACTCGGGCAGCTGCTGCTGCTGCTGCTGCAGAAGGAGGAGAAGGCGGAGGGCAGGGCGAAGGCAGCCGGGAGACGACATGGCCTCGCAGAACACGGACCCCGCGGCGGCGGCGGCTGCGACCCGGACCCCGCGCCGGCTCTCTGCCTACTCACGGGTGCCCTTCTCTGCCCCGCAGGCTGCAGCAGGAGCTGATGACGCTGATGGTGAGTCCGCGCTCCGCTCGGCTCCTCTCCCATCCGGGGTGGGCCCGGGGCTGGGGCGCTGCTGCTGCCGATTCCCGGGGCGCTGCCGAGAGGCCGGCCTCCCCCACCCTCGTGCTCCCGGCGGCGCAACCGGACTTTCTTTTCCGCCTAGATGTCCGGCGACAAGGGGATCTCGGCCTTCCCCGAGTCAGACAATCTCTTCAAGTGGATTGGGACCATCGACGGAGCCGCGGGGACGGTGAGCCGGGCCGGGGTTGCTGCTGCTGCTGACGCGGCTGAGTCCCTGGGCATGTGCAAAGCGCAACAGCCTATTGCGACCAAAGGGTCTGCCCGAGGCGGCGCTTTCCTGAAGGTTCTGGGTGGTGCTTCCCAGAAAGGGATGGGGGAGGTGAGTGGGACAGCGTGGGTGGTCCAGATCCAGGCTGTTCCCAGACCCCTGTTTGGGGGGGGGGGCGCCCGGCTCTACTGCCTGGCCCTCACCTTCCCCTTCCACCCAGCAGCTGTGGTGGGCCCTCCCTATTCTCCATTCAGCCTCTTGGAAGGCCACCAGGAGAGAAGGGGGCGTTGGGGGCTCCTGGAACCGAGCCTTGGGGTGGGGGGGAGCCAAAGCAAAGGTTGCCTCCAGCCAGGTTGTCATCTGTGTTGGAAGTTTGCGTTTATCAGAGATCCTGATGACGCACTGAACAAGATGCAGACCTCAAAAGCTGTCGCCCCCCATCCCCTAGACGTCTGCCACGTCCACTTGGCTCCATTTCTTGTCTCCTGAGGTCAATTTCAGATCAGTGCCTGGCGATCCTCCAAGCCTGGTCCTCATTTCTTGCCATCTCTTAAACCATCCCGGTTAATTTTGAAAGTCTGCCTACTTGCGGGGCCTTGTTAACCCGTCTTTTTTAATGGGCAGACGTTGAGGTTTCCAGGGTGACACCTCCTTCGATGGATGGCATTTTGCTTTTGCTAACGGTAGTTTGGGGAGGGGGTGGGAGAGGGAGGCTTCCTCTGCGTCTGATTGGTGCCTGTGCTTCCCCCCCCCCCAGGTGTATGAAGACCTGCGCTACAAACTGTCTCTGGAGTTCCCCAGTGGGTACCCCTACAATGCCCCCAATGTCAAATTCCTCACCCCCTGCTACCACCCCAACGTGGACCTGCAGGGCAACATTTGCCTGGACATCCTCAAGGACCAGTGGTCAGCCCTCTACGACGTCCGGACTATCCTGCTGTCCATCCAGAGCCTGCTGGGGGGTGAGTCGGAAGCTCCTCGGCCCTGGGCGGCCCGCTTCTCGGTGCCCCGTTCAGAGGTCGAGCCCCCAGTGAGAAATCTGTGGTGATTTAATGGACACACACCCCAGCAAAGGCAGGGTTTCCTCTCATTTACTTTGAGCCCTGTCCTGTAGGCCCTCCCTGAACACACCTGGATCTGCCTTGGGCTACATCCAGGGGTCATTTCGTAGAAAAAGAGGTGCGGGAGCTCATTAGCATAACTTATTTGCATATGCCACCCCCCCTGACATCACCAGAAATGTGTCAGAAGGCAACACCCACCGCTCAGGCGCCACTGAACTGTTTTGGATTCCTAGCTATTGGGGGGGGACATGCAGATCTGTCCTCGCAGAGGAGGGAGAGCTTGCACCTGAATAAAACTTGGTCTCAAAGGTGCCACTGGACTGTTTTGGAATGGGGGGGCGGGGGGGGGGGCTCTGCAGCTTACCTGGCTGCTTCTTGCTCTGACTGAGGGCTGCTGGGAGCAGGGGGTGGGGCTTGTTGCATGTGCCCCGCCCCCTGGGCTCTTTACTGCCAGAGCTCCGCTCCTGTGCGCTCCTACAGGAAATGACCCCTGGCTGCACCAGTCCATCCGAGTCAGGAGTGCCTCCCTCCCACTTTACGCCCATATTCTAAGAAGCCGGCGGACACGCTTCTTTGTGTCTGTATTGTCGATGCCATCGTAACTGAACATGTGGAGCTGCCTTATACTAAACCAGACTTTCGGTCCATCGCGGGCAGTATTGTCTACCCAGGCGGGCAGCAGCTCTCCGGAGTCACCGGCAGACGTCTTTCACACCACCTCCTGCCTGGTCCGTTTTACTGGCATTGCCGGGGATTGAACCTGGGACCAGCTGCGTGTTGAGCAGGTGCTCTGCCACTGAGCCACTGGCCCCTCCCAGAGTGCACACAAGAAGCTGCCTTATACTAAATCAGACCCTTGTCCACTTAGACTGCCAGAGGTCTTTCACATCACCTATTACCTGGTCCTTTCAACTGGAGATGCTGGGGATTGAATTTGGGACCTTCTGCATGCCAAGCAGAGACTCTGCCACTGAGCCACAGCCCCTCCCCATCTGGCGCCAGTTTGGTGTCGCGGTTAAGAGTGCAGACTCTGATCTGCGAGAACCGGGTTTGATTCCCCACTCCTCCATATGCAGCTGCTGCTGTGACCTTGGGTCAGTCATAAGTTCTTTCAGAGCTGTTCTCTCAAGGGCAGTTTTCTCAGAGCTCTCTCAGCCCCACCTACCTCACAGGGTGTCTGTGGTGGGGAGGGGAAAATAGAAGAAGAAACTGATTTATACCCCGCCCTTCACTACCCAAAGGAGTCTCGAAGCGGCTTACAATCCAAGGCAGACCAACAAATAGATGATAGATTTCAGCACAGACAGACAGACTGGCCAACACTAGAGCCAGTTTTGTGTAGCGGTTAACTCAGAGCTCTCTCAGCCCCGCCTGCCTCTCAGGGTGTCTATTGTGGGGGAGGGGAAGGGAAAGGAAAGGAGATTGTAAGCTGCTCTTCTTCTTTGTAGCCCCAGGAAAAACCTCTTTTCCCCCATGGCTGGCTTTCCATTCATAGCGATAGAATCATCAGCTGTGGCCATGTTCTTGCTGCTTTGCGTGCCCCCCACCTACCTATGGCACACTGTCTCTGTCCTTTCTTTGCCCAATAAGCCTGAAACCAAAGTGTGGGGTGCAAGTCTTCTCTCCTGTGTAAGAGGGGAGGGAGCAGCACTGTTCCCCAGACCTAGTCCCCCCCACACACACATTTCTGAGGTTGGGGGTTCTGGGCTGGGGAGAGCTGAGCGGGCTGCCTGCTCTGACACAGCTTCTGTTTCCCACCCCCAGAGCCCAACATTGAGAGTCCCCTGAATACAGATGCTGCAGAGTTGTGGAAGAACCAAGCAGGTGAGTCCTTGGGTCTGGGAGGGGGAGCTCAGGAGGGAGCTGGACTGCAGTGGCAGGAGGGCTCAGGCCTTGGGGGATGAGGGGCTCAGGCTTCTGGGCAGATGAGAGCTGCAGCGGCAGGGAGGGCTCAGGCGTTGGGGACTAGGGGCTCAGGCTTCTATGCAGATGAGAGCTGCAGCCGCACATGAAGAATATCACTCTGACAGATGTGTTGCAGCATAAAAAGGGGGAGCAGGGGGCTATACAGGAAGCCCCTTCCTGCCTGAACTCTTAGATCAAGGTGCCATCAGCACTTTTCCTTGGCCCCGTCAGGTGTCTTTGAAAAGCGGGCAGGGCCCAGCGGAGCTTTTGTCCAGCAAGGCTTCTGATTGGCCACTGGAGATGTGATCGGCTGCACAAATTTGGCAGTGGCCATCACCGCCGCACAAGGATCTTCACCGTGCGGCTGAAGGTCGGTCGTGGCAGCCTTTTTGTGGCTGTGCCCACTGAGCCGTGTCAGAATTGCAAACGTGCCCCAGGCTCAAAAATGCTGGGGACGCTTCCCCCACAGTTGTTAAGGAACAGAGACTCTGGGTTTCTTGCCACCATCCCCCATGCTCGGGGGGTGGGGGTGGTGGCAGATGGCAAGCTGCTGTGCTGAGTTTCGGATACCCACTCCGCCTTGGTGACCTTGGGCCAGTCACGCACTCTCAGCCTTGCCTCCCTCACAGGGGTGTTGTGAGGGCACAATGGAGGAGAGGACACCAGCCAGGGTATATATGAACTAAAAAGTAGGTGGGCCCCGATGAGGGTTGATTTTGGGCTATGACGCCTGCCCCCTTCCCGCCACGACCCTTGAGCTGTGCTGCCTGGTTCTTCCCACAGCCTACAAGAAACGTCTCCATGAATTCTATGCAAAGCACGCGAAAAGCCCGGATCCCTGACAGGAGCCGCTGGCTGTCTCCACCCTGGGGGTGGCTCTCTTTCCTCTTCCTGTCCCTCTCTGCGCTGACGATGAATGCCGGGTTGTATTATAAGTTGTTTTTAATTTTATTTGGCGGTTTGTGTCTTGCTGGTTAATGTATAAATAAATGTGTGTCGTGTTTTTTTCTACCTTGGGGGCTTTTCTCGCTTGCACTGAAACCCAGAAAGGGGAGTGCAGGAGGGCTTCACACGCCCCTCCTGTGCCTTTCTCCTTTCATAGAATCATAGAATGTTAGAGTTGGAACTGGGACCTTGCAGGTCATCTACTCCAGCCCCCTGCACTCTGCAGGAGCAGAGCTGAAAGAGAGCCCTACAACATACCCGAAAGATGGTCGTCCAGCCTCCTCCGCTTGAAAACGTCCAGCGAAGGAGCATCCACCACCTCCCGAGGCAGTCTGTTCCACGGCTCAACCACTCTTACAGTTAGGAAGTTTCTCCTGATATTTAGCCGGTAACGACTCCCTTGTAATTTCCACCCATTAGATCTCGTCTTGCAATCTGGAGCAAGAGAGAATAGGTCCGCTCCATCTTCTACATGACAGCCCTTCAAATACTTGAAGACTGCAATCCTGTCCCCTCTTAAGCCTTCTCTTTCCCAGGCTAAACATGCCCAACTCTTTCAGCCTTTCCTCGTAAGACTTGGATTCCAGCCCTCTTGCCATCCTGGTTGCCCTCTTCTGGACACACTCAAGCTTGTCAACATCCTTCCTAAAATGTGGTGCCCAAAACTGGACATTTCCTTCATTAGATTTCTGCCGGTGTAAAGCGTGAGCTGCTAAGGAGAAGACTGGCCTACGGACTTAGGAGTCACAGGTGGGGGCTTCTCGGATGGTTTGCAAGACACCTGAGCCCGCTCTGCCTGTTGGCAGTGGCCCCAAATGGCTTGCTTGCTCACCCAGCAGCAACGGCAGAGTAGTATCATAGAATTACTGAGTTGGAAGGGGTCCTACAGGCCATCTAGTCCAACCCCCTGCTTAATGTGGGACCAGCCCTAGAGCAACCCTGACAAGGGTCTGTCCAGCTGCTGCTTGAAGACTTCCAGGGAGGAGGGGGAGCTCACCACGTCCCTGGGCAGCTGATTCCACTGTGGCACAACTCTTACCGTATACCATGTCACCTTCTTATTGCTGTATCCTGTGTCACCTTCACCTGAGTGGCGGCACACTCTGCTAAGTTTTCCAGCTCCTCTTTGTCCCAGAGCGTGAGCTCATCTGTCACAAGAAGAGGAGGAGATTGGATTTATACCCCATGGCCCTTCACTGCCCAAGGGAGTCTCAGAGCGGCTTACAATCTCCTTTCCCTCCCCCTCCCCACAACAGACACCCTGTGAGCTAGGTGGGGCTGAGAGAGCTCTTGACAGAAACGGCCCTTGAGAGAACAGCTCTGAGAGAACTTGTGACTGCCCCAAGGTCACACTGGCAGCTGCATGTGGGGGGATCAAACCCAGTTCTCCCAGATTAGAGTCCGTGCTTCTAACCACGGCACCAAACTGGCTCTCCAAGGGATGGACTACAAGCATCAGTGTGGCAGGACCTTTGGCCTGAGCATCCGTTTGCAGGCTCCAGAAGTCATGCAGGGTGTTTCCATGGGCACTCATTAGGGGGGGGGGACGCCCTGCGGGAATTGTGCCAGTGGTCCTCCCCCAGCTGCAAAGAAGAGGGAATGGCAAAGGTTTGGGCTCTGCTGGGTCTGAGGAGATGGTTTTTGTAATCATAAAGTAGGAAGGGGCCCTAGAGGCCATCTAGTCCAGCCCCCTGCTCAGTGCAGGATCAGCCTAGAGCATCCCTGGCAAGTGTTTGTCCAGCCGCTGCTTGAAGACTGCCAGGGAGGGGGAGGCTCACCACCTCCCCAGGCTGCCAATTCCACTTTTGCACAACTCTGTCAAGCTGGCCCCTTCCCGCCCTTGATTTAAACTCATCATTCTGAGTCCTCTTGTCTGCTGCCAACAGGAACAGCTCCCGGCCCTCCTCTGGGTGACAGCCCTTCAGATACTTAAAAGACAGCAACCCGACCCCCAATAGCCTCCTCCAGACTGAACATTCCCAAGAAGTCCCTCAGCCTTTCCTCGTAGGCCGTCTTGGTCTCCAGGCCCCTGATCATCCTCGTCGCTCCCCTCTGCACCCGCTCCATTCTTTTAGAGGTGAGGCCTCCAGAACTGCACACAATACTCCAGGTGCAGCCAGACCAATGCAGTGTGCAGCGGGACTATGACGTCTTGTGATCGCGTTAGCCTTTTTTGCTGCTGCATCACTGACTGATGAGGGGAGATGTACCTCTGCCTGGGCTTCCCTCTCACACTCAAAGCCCCAGTCCCCGTCCCCCCCCCTTGAAGGGCTCTGTTTAACTGGCTTCTATGGAGGCAGAGATTTCCTTCTATGGAGGCAGAGATTTGCCCACAGGGTGCTGCAAGCAAAGCCGTAGCCCCCCCAACACCAACACCCCCGGGCCCAGGGGCTCTGCAGCTGCTCCCCCGGCCCCTCACAAGCAGCCTCCAGTCAGTTCCAGTCCTTTGCTCTTTATTGAAGTGCTTATAAACAGAGTTGCGGGAGGAAGGAAGTCCTCAGAGGAGCTGAAATGGAATCTCCAATCTGGAGCAAGCTGGCCCAGAAGTGGGGGATCGGGGGGGGGCAAGGCAGGGGGGGGCTGGCGGAGGGGCGAGAGAGAGCCGGCCGCTGCCACCACCCTTGCAGGAATGTCCAGGCGCTTTACTGCACACCCTCCATCATCTTCAGGAACTCTGTGGAGAGAAGGAAGCCGTGGTGAGCCCCAGGACAGGGCTGGGCAAAAGAGCCCATGCTTCCCCTCACTGTTGGGAGCCGAGCACGAGCGGGCAAGCCCCCCCCCCCAATACTTGGGACCCACAACCAATGCTCCCTCTAAGCTGTGGAGTCTTGTGAGCGAAAATTCTACTTGGTAAGCTACTGGCATTACAGTTGTGAGCGAGTGATTTGGCCGCTGCATACATTAGTGTGCTCTGGAGCCCTCCTTCCTGAGCGAAGACAAAAATGTGTGAGCCGGAGGCTAAGAAACTCTGAGCTAGCTCACACTAACTCAGCTTAGAGGGAACGTCATTTCGTAGATAAAGAGGTGCAGGAGCTCATTTGCATAACTCATTTGCATATGACACACCCCCTGACATCACCGGAAGTGTGTCAGAAGGCAACACCCACCGCTCAGGCTCCACTGGACTGTTTCGGATGGCTAGCTATTGGGGGAGGGGGGGATGTGCAGATCTGTCATCACAGAGGAGGGAGACCTTGTACCTGAATAAAACTTGGCCTTAAAGGTGCCATTGGACTGTTTTGGACCTGTTGGCTCTGCAACTTACCTGGCTGCTTCTTGCTCTGACTGAGGGCTGCTGGGAGTGGGGGGTGGAGCTTGTTTATGTGCCCGCCCCCTGGGCTCTTTACTGCCGGAGCTCCACTCATGTGTGGTCCTGCAGAAATGATCCCTGCCCACAACCCAAGTGACCCTGGGGCACCTGCAGCTGGAGCTCCTGAGCCAAGGGGGGGGCATGGGTTCTGGGCTCTAGACCCCCACAAGGCCCCCGGGGATGAAAGGAATATACTGGGATGGATTAGATTTATATTCTACGATGGTGGATGGAAAGTCCCGTCGAGTCTCAGCCAACTTGTAGGGCTCCAAGGCAAGAGATGGAACCGGTGGCTTGCTGCTGCCTGCCTCTGCGTCACAACCCTGGACTTCCTTGGTGGTCTTCCATCCACTGACTCACCAGGGCCGACCCTGCTTAGCTTCTGAGATCTGAGGAGACGGGGTTAGCCTGGACCGTTCAGGTCCCGTCACGAGATGGAAGTGGCGTTTGCCATGGCCTGCCTCTGCCTAGCAACCCTGACTTTCCTCGGTGGTAAGTCTGCACCTCGTCTGTTTCTCCTGGGGGCCCACAAGACGCCCTCCGGCGTCGGCCGAGAGCCCCCCGGGCCATGGGGCCAGGTTGCAAGAAGGGTGTGGGGTCTCAGCGCTGGGCCACAAAAGCCCCTTCACCCACCATCAAAGTCGATCCGGCCGTCGTTGTTTTTGTCTCCGTCTTTCATGAGCCAGTCGATCTCTTCCTCGCTGACCGTCTCGCCAGACGCCCGGAAGATCTCAATCAGCTCCTCCGCGTCCAGGTAGCCGTCTGCGTTCCTGGCGGGGCGGGAGGAGGAGAGGGCAGAAGGTGAGGAAGGGGGCCTTGAGCTTTTCTTGGCCTGCTGATCGGGGAAGCGGCGGTGGGGGGGGGGGGTCCTCACTGTGACTGCCTTTCCTTGGGCCTGTCTGCCCAGCCTGGACTGGCACATTATCTGGTCAGGCTGGTCTCCGTGCAGAAGTGTGTGGGGGGGGGGGGGTTGCTTTCCCTGGCAAGCCAAGGGCTTTGTCCATACGTATGTGGCTCCCTGCGTGTGACCCACCGTTGTATATTGCCCAGCTTGACCCACGGGGCGGACTTGGGCCTGCCGGACCCCCTCTAGCAGCCTATGCTGTGTTCTTAGTACAGATGTGCTCTGCAAAGGAGCCCTTGCCAAGCAGAGAGGCACCCCAAAGGGCAGCTCTTCAGGAAAGGGGAACAGTTCACTTTTTCAACCTCACTTTAACGGGCGGGGGGGGTTGTGTGTGCTCCGCCTTGGCTCTGTGGCAGAAAGCAGGGGCTGGGCAGAGGCCGGAGAGGAGCCGGGGTAGAGGGTGGAGGTCAAAGATTCCTGCCTGTGGTACAGCAAGGCTATATAAAGGCCCGCTGCAGAGACCCCCGGCATCCCTGGAGCCCGGCCAAGCCCTTCTTGCCTTGCCAGTCTGAGATCAGGCTGGGGCCAGGAGTGTGTTGTGCTGCCTTTGGAAGAATGTCTCCTCCTCCTCCTCCTTGGTGGGGGCGTGTGTGTGCTCTAAATATCCCTAAATTCCAAAGGGGAATCCTGTTCCCGGAGGGAGGGAGGGAGGGGCCCGAGCCAGGCCTCACCTGTCGAAGATGCGGAAGCACTCGGCCAGCTCTTCCTCGGACTTTCCTTTGGCATCCTCTTTCATCTGGCGCACCATCATGACCAAGAACTCCTCAAAGTCGATGGTGCCGCTGCCTGCAGGGAAGGGAAGGGCCGGGGGGGGGTCAGGCATTGCCCCCCCTCACCCCCTATGTGGTTCCCTCCCTCCCTCGACACCCACCCCCCAA